CTCTCTGTCTCGTTTCCTCTTTACCCCCCTTTCAGTGCTGGAGATCAAACCCAGGGCCTCATACTTACTTGCTAGGCAAGTGCTCTAACAGTGAGCCCCAAGCTATATCCCAACTGTATACTCCTTCTCAGTGACTCTATTGTTTCATTTCATTTCATTTTATATTCTACCAGAAGAAAATAACAGAAGCTATTTTTATGTTCTAACTTTAAAGACATGAAACTGAAATAGAATTAAAATATTTCTCAAACAATTGCATCACAGTATAAATAAACCCAACTCATTTCGTGTAGACCTTTTGAATCACAATAACCTTAAAATATTTCTACCAAGGCAGTGGCTGTAATACTTTTCTTATGACAAAATTAAGAGAAAGGAAGAATTAAAATGAATTAGAACATCCATTTTTATTACTTGGGTTTACAAAATAAACAGACTCAAGTATTCAAGTTGCTATTGGGCGACCCTTGCAACAGTAATGAGCTTTTCAAATGGCAATATTTAGAATACTACTGTAATGGCCCTGTTTTTAAAACCACATTACATTTACTAAGTTAAAAGCTAGTTTCTATCCACTTCCACCATTTCATTACATGAATGTAAGATGATGGTTTAACAATGGGAATGTATGGTTTGCATTTTGTTATGCGAATGCAATATACATACAAAAAGCAAACAGTATGGGACACAAAGTCACTCTATGAAACACTGGATTGTATTGCCTTTTGTCAGTAATTTCTTCTGTTTAATAAATACTGAAGAACAAAGATACCGTTCCATTCTCCAAGAGTTTGTTTTCATTCTTGGAATTTGGTAATTAATTTGAGATTTTTCCTCCCATGCCTCGGCATCTGTTCTAGCGGGATGTATGAACATTGGCAAAGGAAGGCACAGGCACCTGTTCTAGAAATGGGACACATGTTTTGTAAACTCCTGCACTAAAAGCTAATATTCTTGAAACAAAAACGTATCTATTTCAATGTCAAAGAATTGCTCTTTAAATGAGGTGCAGAAAGCATCTCCTCTTATATGAGATGGAAAAGGATGTACAGTGTTTCCTCTACCTTGGTGGGACACCTGCTGAGATATGTACCATCTCTGCTGTCTTTTTGTTCATACTGGCTTAGAATTCAGTGCATGAACGTCATTACGTCCTTCTGTCGAAGGCTTCTATTTACCTTCAATTTTAAAAGAGAAAATCAAATGCATTAATACTTTATTAATGAGTCGATCATCTTTGGAATGAATGCAAGATGGCCTTCAACTGTGTTTTTTATGCTGTGGGTGATATTCAAATCAAATAGATGCAAGCTGATATTTCCAAATAATGTTTAAGCAACAAAAGTTTCTTGAGCCAAGAGGATGGAAAAGTTCTCCAAGCTTTCAGTCAGAAATTTCACCCACGTGTACCCAGGAAAGGGACCCAGCATTCCTGAGATACTGCTATTCTTAACTTCACAATTATTTTATAAAACTGTGATGAGAGGCTTCTCAGGGACCAGGGGCTATCTTCTCGCCACCCAAGTGGATCTATAGCAGGTAAAACAGTGCAGATTTCTACACCTCGTATCACACGTGGCAAAGAAAGAGACCAGGCAGTGTGGTTACTGGGTCCTTAGAGGGACCTTCCACTTCCATTTTTTCTCCAGGTACTTGTGCTATTTTTGTATCATAATATAAATATCATGTCCTCTCTTGGTGTGAAAGCTGTCCTTCTTAGAAATAGGAGCTTGATGGCATTTCCATTATGAGCACAGAACAACAAGAAAACACTGTGTCTAAGTGAAGAAACACATGAAGGAAGTAGACTCAAGGGTATGGGCTGCACAGTTCATGCACCCTGTGTAACCACATTTTTCACTTTTACTTTAGAAAAATAA